GTGGAACAAATAAGCAAATTGCTAGAAGAAAAGTGAGGACTAGAAAATGTGGATAAGTTTATAGTTACTGAGAGTCCTCCATCAGTGGTGGAAACCACCCCCACCCAGAAGGCACAGCCCAGACGGTCTGACGGGTGAGGTCTGCTGTGCTCTGAGGGACCCGGACGTATTGGAACATACTTTGATTCCGAAGTTATGCCAACACTTCCACAGATCAGAAGTGGGGGCATATTCCCCACTCCGCCCTATGAGGTCATTTTCACCTCTGTACTGCATCAAGACGGGACAGTACAAGGACTCTTACCCCAGAAATGGACAAAAAACGTCCTGAACAAAACAGCAGAAATCAAATCAGCAGTGGATACAGATGCCCCATCATGAGTAACCGTTTCTTCCAGTGACGCAGGGATCATCTGACATAAAACGTGCTGATGCAATTTACAGCCTCCATAGGTTAAAGAAGAAAAGCTATTTGGTTACATCAATCTGCGCAGAACACACGTGGTTAAAGTGTAATAGCAATTCCTGGTTCAAAACCAAACCAAACCAAACCAAACCTCTTAGCACAACAGAAATGGAAGGGACTTTCCCCACCCTAATAAAGCAAATAAACCAAAGGTTCCCTGTAAAATCATTCTTTAAAAGGCTGTCATCCTTATCTCTTCTCCATCGCTGGTTTTAAGCAATGTGGTTACATCGTGCCCTCTTGTTGTTTCATTCATGTTCCTGTGTTGCTATCAGCTGGGCTACTTCAAGCTGTGCATTTACAGTTTTCGTCAAATTTTGAAGATTTGGGACCATTATTTCTCCAGATAATTTTTCTGTCCCCCTCATTCCTCAGGTATCCAGTGACACATGTGTTTGTCCACCAGAAGTTCTCTCCCAGCTCCCTGTTGCTCTGTCTTCATTCAATCTTTTTCCCTTTCTGTGTTTCACTTTGGCACATTTTATGCCTTTGTCTTCAAGCTCACTAACACTTTCTTCCTCATCTTCCAGTCTGCTGTCAATCCCACCCAGCATTGTTCTTTTTCATCTCAGACATTGTAGTTTCCATCTCTAAAATCTGGATTGGGGTCTTTTGCATATTTTCCACGCCTCCACCTCACTCGTAGTATATATGGAATATAGTTGTAATAAGGGTTTGGAGATTCTAACCTCCCTGTCAGTTTTGGGCTGGTTTCCGTTGGTTGGTCTTTGTCTACCTTGTGGGTTGTGTTTTCTGGGTTCTTTGCGTGTCTGCTAATTGTGCATTGTGAATTTGCCTTGTTGGGTTCTGGATAACAGTGTATCCCTATCAATACTTTCGGCCTGGTTCTGGGGCGCTGTTACATCAATTGGAAACAATTTGTTTTCTTTTTTCTGTTCTTGCTCTTAAAGATTTGTGCCTGAAAGTAGCAGACCATGTTGAAGATCAATAGGGGAAACCCACAGCACTGAGGGTGTGGTCTTGCCTGGGTAAGGAAAGATCAGCCAGAAATTTAACAGGCAGACACAGGAAACGAGAAAGCTGAAAGACGGAAAGTGCGATCTTGTGATTCATAATAAGGGATATGCATTTGGGCTTCTTCTCCATTCCTGGCTCACAGCTTCTAAAACCCTTGGAACTTCCTAAGTGATGAGAGTGATGAAGGCGTCTTGATGTCCTAACACGCCCCTTTCAAGCACACCTGAGTTCACGCTAATAAGGTGACATGGAAACACTTAAGGACAGGGGCTGGCTGCCATCGGGGGAACCAACCACGAATAGAGGGCTGGGAACTTTCAGTCCCACCCTCTGACCTCTGGGGAGGGGAGACTCAGTCCCCAGTGGCCAGTGATGTAATCAATCGTGCCTGTGTAATGAAGCCTCCAAGAGCCCAAAGGGAAGGGTTTGGACGGCTTCCGAGTGGGTGAACGCGTGCAGATTTGGGGAGAAGGGTGCGCCTGGAGAGGGCATGGAAGCTCCAGACCCGTTCCCACATACCCTGCCTTACACGTCTCTGCCATCTGCCTGTTCCTTAGTTATATCCTTTATAATAAACTGGTGATCTAGTAAGTAAAATGTTCCTCTGAGTTCTGTGAGCCACTCCAGCAAGTTAATTGAACCCATGGAGGGGGGTCGTTGGAACTCCATCTGTAGCAGGTCGGTCAGAAGCAAAGGTGACAACCTGGACTTGCGATTGGCATCTGAAGTGGGGTGGCGAGCAGTCTCTAGGCCTGAGCCCTTAACCTGTGGGATCGGGGATACGGGCTATCTTGGTGACTGTTCCTTGGGTACTCAGAAAAAATGCATCTTCCAATGTCACGGTGTGGAGTGCTCTGTGCGAGCAGGTAAATCCTGTGGCTGATGGCTGTGCAGGTCTCCTCGCTGACCTTACGTCTAGTGTTCTGTCGCATCTCTCAGTCGCTCAAAGGGGATGTTCAAGTCCCAAATCTAATGGTGGATCTGCCCTCTCTCCTTTCAGTCCCGTCAGTCTTTGCTCCGTGTGTTTTGAAGCTCTCCTGTTTGGAGCGCACGCATTTCAGGTTGTTACGTGTTCCTGGTGGGCAGACCCGTTCGTCACATGTAATGCCTCTTTTTGCACTCGTTTTCTTTGCTCTGAGGTCTACTTCATTGGATATCAAAATAACCACTCCTGCTTTCTTGTTATTGATGTTTGCATGGTGTCCCTTTTCCATCCTTTTCCTTTCGACCTACCTATGTCTCTGAATTTGTTGTCTCCACTGTGCTATTGGGCCCATCCACAGAACTTTTAACTTCTGCTGTAGTGTTTTTCCGTTCTATAATTTCGATTTGGATTTTAGCTAACTTTTACTTCCTTGCTGAGATTCACTGTTTTCACTTGTTACAAGTGTGTTTGTAATTGCTTCTGGGATCGTTTTTATGAAGACTGCTTTAAAATCCCTGTCAGATAGTTCCAGCGTTTGACTCATCTTGGTGTTGGTGTCAGTTTGTCTTTTCTCATTAAAGTCGTGGTTTTCCTTCTTTTGGGTGTGACAAGTGAGTTTGGGCTGTTTCCTGGGCATTTTCCCTGTTATGTCGGGAGACTGGGTGCCCTGGGAACCTCTGGTTGTAGCAGGCAGTCTCCCTGTTTAGGGTCAGCAGGTCCTCACCGACCTCTGTGGCTAGTTCCAACGACAGTCTAATGTTCAGAGCCTGCGTGGTGCCATTTTGACCTGCCTGGTGTGTCTGCTGCTGGGGCTCACCCTGTTCCTGCTGGCACTGCCTGAGGGGCAGGGGGTATTTCTGCAGGCCGGTCAGCCAAGTTTCCTTGTGAGATTTCCTAAGGAAAGTGCCTCTTGGCTGATTACTGTTGGAGGGGCCCCCATTGAACTCTCTCTGCCCTGGGCTTTGGGCTCACCTGACGTCGTCCCTTCCGCTCGATTCAGGCTCGGAATGAGCCACCCTGGCTCCTTCTACTGCTGGGCGGGGGTCAGGAAATCCCAGGCTTGTGTCACCTTATTCTCTTGAATGGGGGGTGTGGGGCAACCTGCCACTGTGCTGTTCCTCTGGTCTCAGGTCCCAAACCAGTTTGCCTTCCCCTACCACCTTGCAGAGTCCTCTCTGCTGCAGGGTGTGTTATTTTCAGGGTTGCTAACTGTGCTTAGGAGGGAGAGATGCGCCTACATCAGCTTGTCTGGACTGAAGTCCAACAGCCCATGGCCTTTTTAGGAAACTTGCTGACGATTAAACTCAGAGAGAGTGGTCTTCATGTGCTTTCAACTAACAACGGTGGTGGTGGGAGGTCCCCAGTAGGAAGGGCAGCTGTCCCCACAGCTCCCCGGGGTGGCCCTGGAGTCTGGGAAACTTGAGGTCAGTGATGGTGATGGTGCTGGGAGCGGGGCTGGTGGAGGAGGCGTGCCGGCAGCTGGAGGTGGCTGAGCACTTCCCACGTGCAGACACTGCTCAGAGGGCAGGACAGCTGTTTTTCTCCTTCCAGCCCCACCGACATCTCCCTGAGGCCATTCCTTCCACCATCGCCATTTTACAGATAAGAAACAGACGTGGAGAGATGAAGGAGCTTGCTCTGTGACACCCTGCAAGCAGGTGACAGCAGGGCGCTGGGCAGGCTGATCTACAGCCTGTGCTCTTGACCACAGCACTGACCACCTCGCCAGCACACGGCTGGGATGACCGCAAACGAGTGTGGAACACCAACTCTGCGCTTACAGAAATGAGCTCACTTCCTTCCCACCCCGCTGTGGCCCAACCCTGTCCTGCTCTCCACTTGTCATTTTCATCCCTGAAGCTGGGACCTGGGTGTGCTCCCTTGGGAGGGTGTTTGGTGTCAGATTATCAGATTAGAGCCGGGATGTGGAGCTGAACCAGCCCGGGTCCATGTCCACCTCTGCCTCTGACCGGGCCATGTGGACCTGGGGGTCTGCAATGCTCAGGGGCTCTCCCTCTGTGTGCATGGGGCTGGGCGAGGACAGACCAGAAGCAGCATGTTCCACACTCATGCAGGGGCTCAGGAAGGTGAGATGCCAGGAACACGTGCCTGTTCCCATCTCTCTCTTGGGGAAGCGGGTCAGCTGGGCAGCAGCTCCCTGACACAGGCCCTGAGCTCTGACAGGCAGGGGCAGGTCTGCCCTGCTCTTTGATGCTGGTCTCTGTCCATCCACAGAGCAGGCTGCGTCCCCTCCCTGTCCTGGAGCTCCGACATCCCCACCTCCAAGGAGGGCAGGGGGGCAGGAGGTGCCAAGAAGATTCCTGAGACAATTCTTTTCCAAGAAATGTAAAGGAAAAATTATGATTTTCAAGTGTACTGCCCTACCAGCAAATAGGGTTTCCATTGCCCTGCGATGATAGGGATGAACCAACAGTGATGGACAAACAGATTGTGTCCAACACCCCCTCACACGGGGCATGAGGACTCCCACTGGAGCCGGCGCTGAGCTCAGGGCGGGTCTGGAGCTCAGACACCACCTATCCCAGCCCTGCTCTTCCTCCCCCTGAGCCACCCCATAGGCTCCATCCCACACACGTCGGCCAGGAAAGACTCAGGCAGAGAGAGCACTCAGGTTTATTTCTTTACTGCTGAACGAGGCATGGCTCAGAGCAGGAGATGGAGGCCGGGATCCGAGGTGCCTGGGCCCAGGAGGAGCGACGTCCTGCAGCCGCCTTGGTCTCTGTCCCTCCTGGCGTCTCTGCAGAGGAACCGAAGCTCCGGGGCCCTGAAGTGGACAGGGGCTCCCCTGTGATTCCTGGGGAACCTGCTGGACCGTCACCAGCCCCACCCTGACTCGGGGGGCAGGACAACCCCTCCTTGGAAGAGGGAGCCCCATCTCACCCTCTCCGGCTGAGCGGCCATCACCCCATGCCATCCTTCCTAGCCCTCCACCTTCACCCACCCTCCCTCCCCCCAAGAAGGAGTGGTGGGGACGTCAGCGTGCGAGTGTGGCCAGGACACAGGAGAGGACATCCCGGAGATGCCATTCCGAGAGAGCGGGCACGTGGCCAGCCTGCTTCCACAAGGACCAGGAGGGACCCCAGTTCCAGCCATTCCCAAAGGGTGGTCCCCAGGCTGACTCAGGGGGTTCTGGGGCCCCACTGAGACCCCACCATGTGCCCAGAACGTGGGGCCTGGTTGGTACGTTACCCGATGAGGCGGACGGGCCGGAGCTCGCCTAGAAACCGCATCGCTCTGCAGGGGGAGGGAGAGCCGCGGGGAAGAGACTCGAGTCAGACAGGCAGCCCCGGGCCCAGGGGGGTCTGGTGGGGGCGGGGGGACCCCACCTCAGGGGCTCTGCACCCTCCACCTGCCCACCACCCGCCTCCTGGGAGGCCACCATGGGAGAAAGATGCCGCCCTGGTTCCCACAGAACCAGCAATGGGGACTCAGAGCAGAGACAGCTTCTGCTTCTCAAACCGAGGCAGGGCCCCCGCGGGCCAGAGCTCACCCTGCCCCCCGCTCGGGTCCTGGACGATCTGGACGCGCCCTGGCAGAGGCTGGAGGGCTCTGCTGAATTTCTCCATGACCTCCTCGTCGACCTTCTGGGTCCTGGCTGTGGGGGTCGGGGGGTCAGTCCCTGGGCTGTGGGGGCTTTGACAAGACCTCAGGGGGCCGGGTGCCCCGGCCGGGGAGCATGGGAAGGACAAGCCAACGTCCTGAGGTCGGTAGAGCTTGGTCCAGCCCAGCCTCCCAGGGTGGTCTCCAGGGCTCAGCCCACGTGCCCTCCAGGGTCTCTCCCTCCCTCCTCGGCCCAGGCCCCCTCCTCCTCCCAGAGCAGCACTGGGGGGTGTCGCCCAGTTATGGTAGGAAAATGGCCCCTGCTCCCAGGCTGTGGGGTCTCCTCCACCCAGGTTGGCCGATTTATGCATCAGGGAGCCCTCAGCAGCCCAACACCATGCTCTACTCAGACCCTGGGATCCCCTGAGAACAATGGTGGCATCAACCACATATTTACTTCTGTGAGAATCTCACCCTTTAGAGTTGCTTTCATTTCTGAACTTTTCTGGTCATTGAAAATCTCCTTCCGTCAGGTTATTGGATCAATACAGCCTGTTCCCCCCAGGGTGAGTGTGGCCCCTCCACTTAAGACAGACCCCTCATCCTCTGCCTCGCCCCTACTCAGCCTGTCCCGGACGTCAGCACCAGCCCCTGCCCCTCATCCCAAAGTCACCCACATCAGAGCACCGCTTGTGTTGGACACCACACCCAACGACCTTCGCTAATGGGACCCACAGAGGCAGGTGGGCAGCCCTTTCCCTTCCTCCAGCCGGGGGTCAGTCGTCATGAGTGCTCGTTGTTCAAAGACGACCAAGGGCCACAACTCAGTGAGGAGCGGCCCCCGCCGGATGCCCCCCTGGCTGACGCAGCCACGTACCCAGGTACTGGCACACCATGCCGTGCTCAGCGCTGGGCAGGGGGGGCCCCACACAGAAGAACATGTAGTGGGCGTAGTCTGTGTCCAGCACGGAAATCTTTCTCTCCCCTTGATCTGGAAAAGAGGCCGAAACAGAGGCCTGGATTCTCATCTGAGTGCCCCTCTGACCTCCACCGGGACAGCATCCTCCCCAACAGTGCAGGACACACCCCCGACCTCAGGGCATCTCCTTCCCCTGTGGTTCATTTCCACGGTTCCACCAAAAGCCCATGACTGGCGGCCCCACAGCAAGTGTTATGGACCCCAGAGGGGCCCCTGTGCAGCACCGCCCTGAAGGCAGCCCCTCCTGCCCCTGGCTCCAGCTGTAAACAGCCCCTCGATGTGTTGGCACTCCAACGAAGCTGCTCAGACCTACTGCACGCTTGGCCAAACTCCAGCCCCCATGTCCTGGAGTGGCGTTAATTCATTCAGACATTCATCCATACTCAGGCACTAAATCCAGGCGACCCCTCCCAAGGGCAGGTGCCCAGGTCCCAGGAGCATCACAAGAACGTCCAGGATCGGGGCCCCTCTTGAGTCGAGAGTTACACGTGGACATCAGAGAGTGGAAGAAAGAAATGGGGAATTACTGCGAGGTGGGGTAGGCACGTCTCCCTTCTTCAGAGGCAGAAACCAGGGCACTGGTGGAGACCCACAGCCCTGACCAACTTTGGTGCAGGACGACGGCAGGGCAGACAAGCAGCCCCCCAGGCACTGCCCCAGCTCTTCAGAGACTCCCGCAACCTTCTCAGGTCGACCGGCGGAACAGCAGCTGAGCCCGCTCCCAGGTGAGGAACGGGAGGCGCAGGGACAGGGGCTAAGGGGCTGCCCTGGGTTGCTGGGACCAGACGTGACAGGGTCAGTTCTGGGGACAAGATTGTACCCACCACACTCACCGCCTCTCAGAGGAAGAGGAAGTGACAGAAGGAGAGGCAGGAAGCCCTGTGGACTTGGGAGAGGGGGCAGGTGGGCCCCTGGTGGGGAGGGTGGAGTCGGGGGTGGGTGCAGGGGCCTGTCCCAGATGAGGCTGACTGCAGGACGGGAGGCTGCCAGGGCCAGGGGGCAGTGCCAGGGTGCAGGAGAGAGGTGGGTGAGGCCCAGAACGTTCCAGAAGCAGCTTCCAGGTTTGGCAGGCAAATCCATAGTGTGTTTGCCTACAGGTCTGGTTTATTTGGATGTTTTTAAGGAGCCACAGCCTGCCAGCCCCTGAGCAGGGACGTTGCCACATGCCTGCTGTTGGAACCGGCACTAACCCACACCTGCGTGGAAGGCACCCACGTTGCAGTGCACAAGAGGTTGCCCGCTCTCTTCCTATGTCAAGCAGGGAGAACAGGAGCCGGGCAGCAGGGTGAGCCCTGGAGGGAGTGGGGTCCCTAGGCCTCGTCACCCCGAGAGTGCCTGCACAACTGCAGGGGTGAGGCAAGCGGGGCCTGGTGCTGGCGATGAGGCCGCAGACGCAAGCCCTGCTCTTCCTGCTGCAGGACGTTGAGTGACTCAGAGCAGCCTCGGAGGGCCCAGCGTCAGGAGGGGTACAGCCTCGCCCAGGGCCACCTGAGGGTGGGTGCCAGGTGGCCCTGTGGGCACAGGGTAGGGACACTTACAGTTGACCGTGAACACAGCTGGGTCCTCAGTCTTCTGGGCCACAATGTTCCTCTCAACACATGCGTGGTTTGCCCTGAAAAGCCCCGCAGTGGTGAGGGTCATTCACGAACCCGGTGCAGGGACAGGAGCTGGGCTCCAGGAAGTGTCCACAGTATGTAAGAACACCGGCCCAGATAGCCTTGGGCTGGCTGGTAGCAAGGCCGTGAGGTCTCGGCCTAAAGGTGAGCGGCCCTCGTGGCCCCAAGCCAGCGACTCAGGAAGGCTGACAAGGGGGTCAAGGGACACAGCTAGGAAATCCGGCAGGCAGGTGTGGGGGCCTGTGGCCGAGGGCTCATGGCAGCTCAAAACAGACCCTGTCTACGTGGGGCTTGATCACAGCATTTCCAAGGACGTCATCACAGCTCAACCTCAGAATTCTCTGACCCTTGGTCACCCACTCTGGGGGCAGACAGGATTCACGGCAGGAACGGACCAGGCCCTGAGGAGCTGAAGCCTGCAGCTGACCAGCCGGCCTCCACGCCGGCCTCTCCCCACACTGACCGGGGTCACTCTATGTGGTCAGCCTGTTAGTCCAGAGCCCTGGCGGGGGCCTCTAGGGGACTAGGAACCTCCAAGCCCCAATCCCCACCCCTGGGGCACCGTGCCCACTCACAGCATGGCCAGGTCCCATCAGGAGCCCCACCTGCCCACCCACCCCTCCTGGAGCCAGGCCCTCACTGGCCCGCACCCCGGGGTCACACCCACCCTTCGCGCAGGATGATCTCCAGGTTGCCCTCGGGGGTGGGCCTCAGCTCCTCGACGTACACTCTCAGAGGGGCACTCTCGGAGTCCAGGAGGGAGATGTCGCTGGCCACCATGGCCACGGAGTGCCACCTCCCTGCCACCTGAGGGGGGGGCCTCGAGCTGCACTCCGGGGGCAGGAAGAGGCCCCCAGACCCACAGTGGACTCTCCGTCCCACCCCATGCCAGCCAGGCCGAGTCTAACGGGATGGACGTCAGCGCTGGCTGACCCTCTGCCGGCTGCCAGACGCTAGGCTGCCAAGCTTCCCACCCTCAAAATAACCCTGCTGTGTCAACCCCGATGGACTTAGAGTCCAAATTCTGAGTCGCCAGAGACCATCTGAATCTTAGGAAACCAAGTGACAAACCCCCTGGATGTGGAGAGCAAGGCCAAGTGTTTCCTCACGTCATGGCTCCATTTGTGCACCTTTCCATTTCCGAGCCAGCCCCCTGCCCGCCCCGCAGCTCAGCCCACCCCGGCCATCCTCGAACCTCCTGGAGGTCCAGATCCTGCATCGTCTGGGGGATGTCGGTGGCCTGGTTGCCACACATGAGGGACAAGCCCAGGGCAAGCAGGAGGCACTTCATGGCTGTGCTGCGGGTGCACTCTGAGCCCCGGAGAGTGAGGAGACCGAGGCACGGGCTTGGCGCCCTATAAAGGAGGGAGGCTGGAGAGGGGCCGCCCGCCAGCGCCCTCCAGCCCCCCGCCATGAGGTTCCCCGAATCTCCGTGACTCATCCTCGGCCCTCAGTGGCTTCCTCAACTGGGACAATAGGAAGCCTTTTTCCCTCCGAGAGCAAACCGGAAGGTTCACTGAGCCCCTGGGGCCTGGACAGTTCCCGGTAGGGCCCCAGACGTGAAGGGTCTGGGGTGCGTGTCCCGGCTGGCCGCCAGCGTCAGGACATTTCCTGGGCCAGGCTCTTGGACAATGACAACCTGAACTCACTTCTCTCCCACACCCGAGCCCCCTCTGTCCCACAGCTCTGCCCGTTTCGACGGCAGGAGCCCAGCAGCACCCCCATCTGGAAAACCTGGGGTCACCGTGGTGTGTCCAAGTGGTCTGGACGTTTTCACCCCAAAATAATCTCCCAAATTTGTCTTCTCTTTTCTATTGCCAATAACATTTCCAAAGCTCTAGACCCCCAAATATTTGTTTAATGGGAAAAAAGGCTGAAGGGCCCTGTCAACTGGTTTCCCGCCCCCTTCCCCTTGTTCAGCTACTGGAAAGAAGGTCCGAACGTAAACACAATCCTATTCTTCTTCCCCGAAGCACAGCGTGTCAGTCTCAGTGTCCCCACCGCTCAGGGCGTGGTTCTCGCCTGGAGGGTCGTCAGAATCGCCTGGAACTTCTCAAGGACTGTGGTCTCAGGACCCCCAGGCCCACCGAAGCAGGGACTGGCCTGCCACACTCAAGAGCAAGACAGTCCTCCACCGGGAGCACGGGCAGAGAGGTTCCTAGAGAACCGTCGAGGGCGTTGACAGTGTGACCACAGCACGTGGCCATGCTTGAAATGCCACCAGCGGACAATTATTCTAATGAGAGGAGATGGGAAGAGAGTTTGGCTTCTGCTTTTAAATGTTCTGACCTCCTCCAAGGGAAGGAGGACACAGGGGTCGTGGAGCCCTGAGTCCAAAGGGCTCATTCCAGCGTTCTCTCTTCTCCGAGTACCTGAGAAGTTCTATAATTTTCTTTAGTTGAGAAAAACTCCTGCAATCACTCTACCTGCTGAGTGTTCACTAAGGGGGTGGAGTCCCACTCGGACTGGTTTAGGCCCTGCAGGGCCAGTCACTTCTCACTTCGTTTCCCACGTGACCCCACTGCCTTTGTCCCTGTGCCCACATTGGAGCCACTCCGGCCCCCAGTCTCTGTACCCCATGTTGGAGCCCCCTGACGTCCATGTCCCTGTGCCCACGTTGGAGCCCCCTGACGTCCACGTCCCTGTGCCCACGTTGCAGTCCCCTGACGTCCAAGTCCCTGTGCCCACGTTGGAGACCCTGACGTCCAAGTCCCTGTGCCCACGTTGCAGCCCCCTGACCTCCACGTCCCTGTGCCCACGTTGCAGCCCCTGACATCCACGTCCCTGCGCCCACATTGGAGCCCCCTGACGTCCAATCCTCACCCCCACAGCCGCTCAATCCACCCTGTGCCTTTTCCCAGCCTCGTCACTGGGTGATTCGGCCCCATGGTTCTGGCAGGCCCCAGAGCCTTCTTTCTGGTGACCCTGAGCTTCTGGGAGCTACGAGCACAGTGTACAGGCCCGTGTCTCGCTAGCCCACAGGCAGCACGATGGGGCCCAGCAGAAACGAAGACGGGCGTTCTCGACCCCTTGCCGAGTTTGTGGGAACACTTCTGATGTCTCACAGTTGACTACGGGGTTACCCTGGGTTTCTGTGAAACACACTTGCCGAGGTGGAGGAAATGGTCTGTGGGTTGGGTACTTTGAGGCCTTGGTGCTGTGCTCGCGGGAAACTCTTTATCGAATACTTTTTTAGCATCTTTTGAGATTAATATATCGTTTTCCTCTTTCAATCCGTGCATGTGGGGAATTATGTTGACAGATTTTCTACATCTCAGGAACAATAAATAATTGTACACGTGCTAAAACCGTTAGTGTTTAAGGGCTACCAGCCATAGTAGTTAGTACAAACTGACAAGAGAAAAAACAAACTGCAAAAATGGGAAAGAAGGAAGTAAAACGACCGTGCAGGGAGCCGGCCCAGTGGCACAGCGGTTAAGTTCACACATTCCGCTTCGGCGGACCAGGGGTTCATCGGTTCAGATCCCGGGTGCGGACGTGGCACCACTTGTCAGGCCATGCTGTGGTAGGCATCCCACATATAAAGTAGAGGAAGATGGGCACGGATGTTAGCTCAGGGCCAGTCTTTCTCAGCAAAAAAAAGGAGGATTGACAGTAGTTAGCTCAGGGCTAATCTTCCTCAAAAAAAAAAAAAGACCGTGCAGTCAGAGGACACGACTGTGTATTTAGAAAGCCCGACTAAAAACCAACTATGAGCAACAGAAATTCAGCAAGTTATGAGAATACAAACAAATTATTAAATGAAACATTATCTTTCATACATATGTGAGCAGCCAACAGTTATACCGTATAATGAAAGTAAAGGCCTGGGGGCCGGTCCCGTGGCCGTGTGGTTATGTTCGCGCGCTCCGCTTCAACAGCCCAGGGTTTCACCGGTTTGGATCCTGGGCGTGGACATGGCACCGCTCATCAGGCCACGCTGAGGCGGTGTCCCACATGCCACAACCAAGGCACTCACAACTGCAATATACAACCATGTACTGGGGGCTTTGGGGAGAAAAAGAAGAAAAGAAGACTGGCAACAGATGTTAGCTCAGGTGCCAATCTTTAAAAAAAAAGTAAAGGCCTCATTTGAAATAACAGCAAAAATAATAAAACGTTTAAGAAACAAAATAAATGAGGGAACTTTATCAGGAAAACTTTAAAACACTTTCGGAGCATCCACAAACAACTTAAACAAATGAAGATATGTTCTAAGACTTTATATAAGAAAACCCTGATGTAAAAACGTCAATCTTCCCAAGAAAAAATTATCAACGGAATATTTTTTGGAATTTTTTTATTGTGAGAAACTATGCATCATGTAAAATTCACCATCTTAACCATCGTTAAGTGCACGGCTCAGTGGCATTGAGCACATTCACGTTGTGCACCCGTCCCCACCATCAGCTCCAGGACCTTCCCAGACTGAATCTCTGTCCCCACTGAACACTCACCCCCTCCCCTCCCCAGCCCCCGGTACCACCTCCTCTTTCCGTGGGTTGACTCCACTTGTCCCTCACATGAGCGGAGTCCTTTTAGGGACCTGGGTAGGGGTGGGGTGAGGGGACCTGCGTCGGGGAGGGCCATCCTGAGAAGCCTCGTGTTTCCAGGAGAAAGGTCCATGTCACCATCCTGCTGGATGCTGGTTTTGGAGACCGTTGCCGCAGTGCCCCGAGCGTGGCATTGGCTGGACAAGGTCAGGGTTTCTCCCCTCCCAGTCCAGAGCTGGTGGCCAGTGGGGACATCCTGCGGGTCCCCTTACTAGGTCCTCCCTGAGGCACAGGCGCCTGTGTACAGATGCGGCCCTGAGGACACTGGCCCCGACAGCAGAGAACAAGGTGGGGCCACGTCTCCCAGGGCTGAGCCTCTGGATCCAACCAGGAACGAGAGTCGGGGAGGCAAGCAAACCCATTCTCTTTACGTCAGGGGGCCCCTTTCTCCAGTCAGAGACCTCTGCGCAGAGAGGGGACCTTTGACTGCCGTCCCCAAAGGTGCCCAGGGATGAGCCATCCCTGCTCAGACATCCCGAGAAGGAGTCAGACCAGGGGGCGTGTGAAATGCTGCCTTGAGGAGGGGGCAGTGAGGTGACCTGGGACACCTGGAGGGGTGTGGACAGACTTGAGGGCCCTTGTGGTCTGCGGTCACCGTGTGAGGGGGTGCCATGGGCCCCTGGTGGGTTTTCTCTGTCTGGGTCCCCCTGCTCCAGCCCCAGTCTGACCAGCTTGGGACCTCGTGTGTGCAGAGCCTGCTCGAGGCTGGGAGTGTGTGCAAGGGCTGATGAGCGCATCGGCCGCATGCAGGAGGTGCTGGAAGGACAAGAGCGACGGGGGAGTCGACAGGGTACAATCTGGAGTGGACACACTGGAGAACTTTGGGAGAAATTTAAAAACAGGTTGTCAGAGCTTCGTGGTCTCCAAATGGAGATGGGGTCACCAGCGTGCCAGGATCTGGGGGAGGGACTCTCAACCTCGGCAGGACCGACATTTGGGGTGGAGGCCATCCTGTGCACTGTATGGTGTTGAGCAGCAGCCTGGCCCCCCACCAGAACCGATGCCAGGACCACCTCCCTCCCGGGTCAGGACTCCACAGGTGTCTCCAGGCACTGCCCAGTGTCCCCAGGGCCCCATTTAAAACCCCTGTCTAGGGAGTGACCACACCAACAGCTGCCTGGGGGAGGAAAGGGCAGAGGGTCCCTGGAGTGGGGGTGCTGGGTGGATCCTGTGTGGAAAAGGGTGCCAGGCAGCAAGAATGGTGACGTGAGCTCGTGGACCAGGGTGGTTGGGAGCCTGCACATCCCTCCCGACGAGGCGGGGCTCGAGCAGGGGGCACAGGGGAGCTGGAAGGAGACCAGTACCCTTGAGCCAGTGCCCCAACGGTCTGAGCCCACATTCCAGCTCTAGGCCGGGCCCTCGACCTCAGAAAGTACTGGACACACCAATGAGCATCATCATGTGGAAGGTGGCCCTGTCCATCCGGCTCGTGGAGTGCGTGATGGCGTGCTCCTTCCCCAGCAAGAAGTTGATGGAGATTTTCTCCTTCCACCCTGCAGGCAGCAGAGCACCATCAGGGCCACAGCCTCCCCCGCCCCACCTGCTGAGAGAACGGGCGGCGGCCACTCACAGGTGCTGAAGATGCCTGGGTTATACGTCTTGTCGAGGAGCAATTTGTACTGGACGCATCCGATGGGCTTCCTGGAACACAGGAGCAGCAGACACGTTCCTCAGACACAAGCCCAGCCCTTCCCGGCTCCACCCTCGAGGCGCCTCCCCACCCCCCCACCCCCACCTCTTGCTGCCTGAGACAGCCCCTCCCAACACCTCCTCCCTCAAGGCCCAGGAGCAGGGGGCTGCCACTGGGACTCCAGGGACCGCGTGTCAGGAGCCTCGTTCAGGCAGCTGGAGCTCATCGGTCGAGGGGGCTGGTCAGGACCCAGTGTCCTGACCTGGACCCCACACAGCCCAGCCTGGGCTCTTGGCCTGCCCCTAGAAGGCCTATGGCTGCCCGGCACGTCCTTCCAAAAGATGGCCAGACAAGGCCCCCAGGACCCGTCTTCCCATGGTCCCCACGTCCCCCTCCCCCCCAATACGTTCGAGGTGGCACCAGCCAGGAGAGAAGTGAGGCATGCAGGGCCCAGGGTCAGCCTGCACTCGGCCTCCAGCATAACCTGGCGATTTCCCATCACGCAACTAAGCTTCAGGCCCTTCTGTGGTGGCGCCGTCAACAGCCCTGGGATCGGCCTGGGCGAGGTTGCGTCTCAGGTCTTTGAGCTCTTCTTCAGATGCATCTCCCGAGTTAGAGAAACCTGGAGTCCCTCAGACCTGGACCTGCCTTGCTGCCACCTGTCACTGACCACACAGCCATGAGCACTCCTTCTCCGTTCCCCATGGAGACCAGGCCGGCGCCCAGGCCGGCGGCTTTCCTAGGACTGGAGCAGGAAGCCCGGCCCGGGGTGCACAGATCGGCGCTCAGGCTGTGTACACCCCGGCGTTGGGCTCATGTCTGACTGTCACCACCGAGGAGGCGGGCGCGTGGCCATGGACACCAGCAAGTTGGTGAAACAGCTTCAGAGGGTGGGCCATCAGTGCAGAACGACCAACCCTGAGCTGAGGGCCCTGAGGGGAGAGGAGGCCACTCCCGCCTGTGGGGGTCAGGGCCAGAGACTTGCAGGCGGGCCTGTGGACAGGTGCGACCGGGGTGCTCACGTGAGGTTCATCCTGAATTCCAGTTTGCCAAGAGGGTTCACTCCAAACGCGAAGGGAGGCAGCGGGCAGAGCCTCTTCTCCTTGGGGATCAGCATGTTCCCAGCCCAGCGCTTTACGTACCAACGTCCTAAAAGCTGGGGGAGGGGCCCGTGAGTGGGGAGGTGACCTGGGGAAGGGGCCGGGGCTAGCAGGAGGCCAAGGGCAGGTTCAGCGCCAGAGCCCGGCCACACAGCGCCCTGTGCCCAGCAGCAGAAGGGAAGCCAGGCTCCCGGGAGGGGCACAGACGGGGGGACCGAGTGGACTTGGCCGCAGAGAAGGGAGCCAGGGAGAGTTGCCCAGAGGACCAGGTCAAACCTATGTGTGGGGGGAAGCAACAGGAGGCCGGCACAGGAGGAGAGGGGTGGCTGAGAGTGGACAGAGCCCAGGGCATTGACCTGTCAAGGGCACCACCTGAGCTCTGGCTCGCCCAACGACCCCAGTCCCTGCTGCTTGCAGGTGGCCAGCCCGATGTGCCTCCTTCCCCGGCTGTCCCCGCCACCCCTGCCTGGCTGTGGCCTCCTGTTCTCCATACCCTTTGATCTCACTTGTCCCTGTGTTCAGAAAACCCCAGGGCCTCAGGGCTGTGGGGGACTCCTGGGATTGGCTGACCCCAGGCCCTTTGCATGGAGGAGAGGGAGGATCCAGGACAGGGGTCTGCTGGGGAAGGGGCAGAGGGGAGCCCAGGCCCCCAGCCCAGGTGGATGAGAGTGTGTGTGGCCAGCAAACTGACCAGCTCCCAAAGAGGGAAGAGGGGCATAGGGGAAAGAGGGCAGGGAGGGGATGGGTGCCCTGTGATCAGAAAGGATGGGCCAGGTGCCAGACTTGTCACTAGAGGGAGTGGGGCGGGGGGTGGCATGCCTGGACCACCAGCCTTGACCCCCAAGACACGCCTGGAACCAGGCCACTTGAGCCTCTTGGGCGAGGAAAGCAAGGAAAAGCAAAACTGCCCCCGGGAGCTTCAGCACCGGGTGATGGGGCCCTGGGTTATGACTGGTCATTTCCAGGGCCCTAAATCTTGCCGTAAATCATAGCCTGGGTTTTTAAAAGTCAAACGTTCTTGATAAATGTGTGGTTTTTGTGGAGACCTCATGCATTAACCTGTCCTTGCAAAATGGAAAATCTGCAGCGTCCTGTCTGACGAACGGAGAGAAGCTTCCAGTCAACCAGCTTCTGTGAACCTCGGCCTGATGGGGCAGGGATGAGTCTGGGGGCTCACTTGCCCTCCGTAGGGGCCTGGGCAGGACTCCCGTCAGTACCCTGGGCCCTAGGCCTCACTGAGCCCCCCACACCCCTAGGGCAGGAGGATGCTTGGTCTGCCTGGGGAGGGAGCTGCCTGGACACCACTCGGTGCCCCTCCTCTGCCTGGAGACGTCTCCAAAGACACAAGAGGGGACCCTGGCCCAAGTCCATCTGGGGCCGGGAGCACTAGACTGAGAGCCTACCCAGTGCAGGTGGCTGACCTGGGACACACACGTCCCCCCGCCATCCATCCCTCCAGCGCTCATCTCGTGGGTGTCGGCAGGAACAAGCTGGGGCGCCTGGGCTTGCAGCACAGACAGCAGGCTCAGCCCCGCAGTCAGGAGGGGCAGCTGTGTGGTGGGTGGGGCCTCACTGCTGCTCCCTGCTTGCCTGGCCGGCCGCCCATTTATCCCCAGCTCTGGGCCGACCTGGGCCGGGCTCGCCTCCTCCTGCCCCACTTGCAGGGCTCCCACACTGTGCATTGGATCCTGTGGGCATCATTCGTTATTGTTGGAACATAATTAACGAACGACTTACCTTTTGTAACTAACCACCCGGGGCGTCCAAAAGTTGTCATTTCCTTTCCTGTCCAACTGCTCAGGGTGAGTTTACCTGGACAGAACAATGGTATCAGGGTAGGGGGTGACAACGCCGCCCACGGGTCAGCGAGGTCAGTGAGGTCAGCTGAGCCCGCCTCACCCACTCTCAGCCAGCCCACATGCCCTCAGGACCATCCTGCCCGCAGGACCCTCAGTGACCCAGCCCTTCTCTCCCTTCCCTTCACTGCCACCCCTTCGAGAGGTTGTCACCCTCGCTCCCACACATCTCAGCACAGGGTTCCCCGGCCCCCCGCCTCCCGAGAGAGAGGTACCAAACACAGGGTCCTCCTCGCCTCACAGGAGCCCCCTCCCTCTCGCTGTTGCTGGACACCGAGGGGACTTGCCCTCCTCTCCTTCCATCAGCTTCCCTGGGAGATCGCATGTGCCTCCATGATTCCGTCTCTGTCTCCAGGCTGACGGCCCTTCCTCATCTCCAGGGACACGTGGGGGTGAGCTCCCCGTGATCATTACACCCCCAGCCCCAGGCCCCCCATCAGGGGTTCTTCCACACAGGCCCTTCCCTGCACACTGGCTCGTCCCATCCCAGGTTTCAGTCACTGGGGCAGGGCAGCCTGACCTTGGAGGGGGCTCTGTTGCCCAGGAGGTCCAGCACCGCAGGCAGCATTTCAGACTGGGCTCCCAGGATCACAGCGCCTGGCTGAAGGAACCTCGGGAACCGGCTGGCCCAACCCGAGTCTTCAGGCAGAAATGCCAAGTGTCCATTCGGGACATGAGCCACCTCAGGTGGAATGGCAAACCACTGGGGGGTTCCCTTATCCGAAGGCTCCATAGGCAAGGGAGCCAGCCCTCGCCCCTCTCCCTGGAGAGCAGAGAATCGCGCTCTGCTTGGGGGCTGGTGTGGCAGCCCATGCGGAGGCCTGTCCCGGACTCAGGGCTGCTCTGCCAGCCCTGCTACAGCCCGTGCATGGAGAATGTCCCCCTGTTGGATGGCTTCAGGGGCGACCATGCACTGGGAAGGAGATGACTCCCAGCCATCAGCGCCCGGCCTCCAGGGGCCAGTGACCTTCCATGCGCCTCCCCCTCGCCCTGAGTCTTTCCCCGGCCCCTCCCGAGCGGAGCCCCTTCTTCCCAGCCTGGCCCATGAGAGGCGCCCAGGCAGGCGCCCATCCTGGAGGAACCGGGATGCCCTGTGCCTTCATGTCTCCCCTTCTTGAATGACTGTTGGTGTCACAGCTGCCCGTCCACATCACCATTGCAGCCTGCTGGGGGCGGCCGGGTGACCTGGGCTGTGGGGTCTCTGGGTTAACAGGAGCTTCCTCACGACCTTGGCCCAGCAGACGCTGGAGGACGTCTCATTCGAGCCCGAGTTCCTTGAGTCCTGGGGGGACTTGGGAGGGGCTAGTGGACTCTGCATGTGGAAGGAGTGGGAATAACTGAGAAGGGTCAATTGCTTTGTGTCTGTGAGGCTAACCACCCCTGAAAAATACACATCCCCAGGCCGCTTCAAACACCACGTGACTTCCTCTGAGATGGAGTGTTAACAAACCTTCTCGAGAGCAGAGGCTTTGAAAGGCGTGTGCCTCAGGCCTTGTTCTCTCTTGCTACTGGGAACTCCGAGCCCCTTGTGTGAGGAATCCAGGCTGGCTTCCTGGAGGCGGAGGGGCCACGTGAAGAGAGGCCCTGCCCTCCTGTCTGAGTCCAGTCTGACCAGCGCCTGCAGCAGCTTCACTCAGGAGGCAAGACCAGCAGGAGGAAAACGGCCAGCAACCCACTGTTCCCAGCTACTTGTTTTCAGCAAAAGCCAGCTGGTATGAGCCCAAACCACTCTGAGACTCTACACACAAAAATTAAACAAAATGTCAAATCACATCCAACTTAGAGAAAAACGCATAAGGAAGAAAATGAACCCAGTAATATGACGATATTATTTTTACCTAAATGTTATCTTATTTCAAGTCTGATTCTGAAACCTGATGTTTTCACTCAATACAAAGTCTCGGTGACCATGTTTGCAGATATAGGTTTATTCCATTCCTTCCTACAATATTTCAATGTATGGAGAAATTGGTTTATTTCATTGTCCTACAATAATGGACATTGAAATTATTGACATTTTTGTGCTATTACAAACAATTCTTGCCTCATCTCCTTAGAAACATAGAGCATTTTCTCATTTTCTAATGTATGCTGCAAAATATTTTCTCTCAGCTCTCCGTTTATCCACTGACTTGATATGTGATAAATAGACATAAAATATAGATTATATAAATGGAATATGTAAAATACATTTAAAAAATAAAATATATTTATATAAACCTAATGGGACATAGAAAATTCCCACTCATGCATGTGTGCACTTCAGAACGTCCTGGTCTGTTCCTTCCCCAGGAGAACTGTGTTCCAACAACAAAATTTTATCATTTGTTTTGAAATCAAATAAAGCAAGACTCCTCCTGTGTTTAGTTTTTCAAACTCATTTGTTTAGTCACATATATTAATATTTCTTTGTGATGCTTAAAATCAGTTCAGCAGTTTTCACAAAATATTCTATTGGGGTGTGGTTGTGTACGCACTGAAGTTTTAGATTTGTTTTAAGAGAAGTGACATCTTTTCAATAGCCAGCTGTCTCATCCAGGACACTCTTTATGTCCCTTGTTTCTTTTCCTTGTCCTACTACACTCACCAGGACCTCCAGTGAGACAGAAATCCTAACTGGGAGGGCGGGTCGTCCGGCATTCCGGTGACTCCGTGGGAACGTTTCTCCTGCTTCGTCACTGGGTATGCCACTGGACGAGGCGTTTAATGTTGAGCACGATCTCTTCTATTTTTAACTGCAAAGACAGGTTTGTTAATCATGATTGTTTGGTAATTTCTATCAAAGGGCTTTTTCACACCAATTAAGCTGGGCTTGTGTGCTTTTTCCTCCTTCCAACCATTAATGTAACATATTTTTTTGATAGAGTGTTTAAATTCAAGAAAAACACGAAAATGCATACTGTGGGAACAGCTACCGACTTTGTGACCCACGTATGAGCACACTCAGATGTGAGAAAAACTTAGAGGCGTAAAAACTGGAAAAGAAGAAGAAGTGAAAGGCTCGCTCTGCACGGACAAGGTGAGTTTATCGCTGAAGAGTCCGGATAAATCCACCTAAAAGCTCCTGCAAATGAGAAGACGATTCAGTGAGCAAAAGATGCCGCAGATCAATACAGAAAAACCAGTACCTTCATGTTCTTAAAATAGCAACTTCCACAAGAGTCAAGAAGAAGCAGAGCCGGATACAAAGTTGTTTAAGGTGGAGTCCCGTGGGTAACAATATAAACCAGCAGAGGAAGGATCAGCAGAGAGCTCAGGGCGGTTCGCCCCGAGAGGAGAAGGGGCGGGCGCAGGTCAGGAGGAGGCAGGGCTCCTGACGCCCCAGGACGTCTGGGTACAAGACGAGCCGACACATCTGTTAGTTATTCTTCAGAAGCATTTTAGATCTGAAAACAGCCTGGTCTCTGTGTGTAGTGGACTTAACTAGCCACTAAGAATAAAAACACCCCACCCTCTCAGAAAGGCCTGAAGGAAACTCCCGCCTGGTGACGGGTGGGAGGTCCCCTGGGAGAAGAGAGACAGGCTGTGTGACCCACAGAGGACGCTAAACCCAATTTGCGAGGCTGTCCCTCTTCCTGGGAGAAATCAATTTCATTAATTAAATTAATTAGAGACGATTTCAGGGCTATTGCAGTGGTGCCTCCGGCGAGCGTGCTTTCAGAGTTTCGTGGTTCTGACGGGAGGTGGCAGAGGGCAGTGGCTGCAGGGTCCCTGAGCTCCCAGGTCTGGGGCTGCTCGTGCGAGGAGAGTCACATCCGGCTCGCAGGCGCCTGCGGACCCAGGAAGAGACAAAGATCGGGGGGACACACTTACTCAAGGTTGTCGTGCGGTTACCACCTTACTGGAGGCAAAAAAGGCCATGAGGAAATCCCTGGGTGAATGGAAATCATGAATAAAAGGTAATGAGTGATAAAGAAAACCCACTCTCCTTATGGGAGTGTGGGGGATTTCTGTTTTGTTTATCCTTTTCTCCCCCACAAACCCCTCAAAGATGCTCAGGGCCCCTGGGCTCTCGTCCAGGGTGCAGGTGGGTGCAGGCGAGATGGAAGGTGGGTCTGGGAAGTCAAGACAGGCAGCCAAGCCCATGTCAGGGGACCCCTCTCTCCAGGCAGGGGCCTCTGGGCAGAGAGGAGCCCTGACTGTTGTCCCCAGGGGCTCCCAGGCATGCACCATGCCCTGCCCAGACATCCCCAGAAGGAGCCACACCGTGCGGACGTGTGAGATGCTACCTTGAGAATGAGGCAGTGAGATGACCTGGGGACACCCGGAGGGGTCTGGCAGCCCTGGGGGTCCCTGTGGCCTGTGGTCAGGATGTGAAAGGGGATCAACACTCGCTCTGCGCTAGCTCCTGCCCCTCTCATTGCTGGCGGCAGGTGCAAAGAAGGCCAACAGTTGGGTTCCCAGGGCAGGCTTCCAGGCCAGGACCACAGAAGGAGCGGGCAGAGCTGCAGGACAGGAGTGTGGGGCTGTCCCGGTGCTCAGGGCATGCAGGGGAAGGAAGGAGGTGGCGCAGGGAAGGAAAGTGAGCAACCAGCAAGGTTGGCAGACAGAGAACCAGTGGGCTGAGGATGTGTCAGGAGAGGGAGCCCACAGTGAGCAGGCTGGGAAGACACCAGGGGGTGCTGGCTAGAAGGGGCTGTCCTGAAATGGGGGACGCAGTTGCGGGGAGACGCTGAAATGTGTAGAGTGAGGCCTGGGAGTGGGTGGCAGGCATTGTGTGAAGGAGGGAGGACAGGCCCCCGAGGGTCCAGAATGTCAGGAGGATCACCTGGGCAGACGTGGAGTGACCAAGAGAGGTCAACTCACAGCTGTGTGGAGAGAGAGAGAGTGTGGGCGTACACACCCACGTGTGCACACACACACACATGAACATGCACACAGTCCCTAATGGGTGCACAGGGCACAATTTGGCCCCAAAGATGAGCACAGCTGCCAGAGGTGCCGGACGAGCCGCGCAGCCCTTCTGTGCGGCCATGCCACTGTCCCTGAGGCCACTCCTGCGCCCTGGAACCCCACGAAGAGCTTCACCATGTGCACATCCTGATTACTCATCTTGTCCTTGAAGGAGGTGGTGCCATGGTCCCTCTCCAGGATGAACCAGATGTTGATGACGGGTCTCCACCCTGGAGGTGGCACGAGTGGAAGCCACTTTGGACTCGTCGGGGCCCATGGGGTCGGTGAGGGTCCTAATGCCTGAAGGAGGGAGCGTGGGGTGTCGAGGGAGTCCCCGCTGCAGGGGAGCTGCGAGATCGGGGGCATGCAGGCTCAGACGCCCAGCAGTGCAGAGTGGACGTGGCTGGTGACCGGCGGGGATGCCATCCACCCCAGGCCTCTGTGCTCCCTCAGGACCAGCCCCCTCAGCCTAGGCTCCTGAGGCTTGTTTTCACGAGTTCCCTCAAATGCTACAGGGCGCTTAGGAGCAGCTGACCTGAGCTGCAGACTTCCTGATGGGGCCTCTGTGTGGAATCGGAGGAGATGAGGGCCCTGTACCAGCAGGGTGTGCAGCGTGTGGTGTCCCCCGAGGGCGGGACCCTGTGAAGCAGGGGAAACACAGACGTCCCACCCCTGGGCACGGGGCCAGCTTAGGTGAGAAAGGCTCCTAGGTGCAGGGGTGGCTGGGGAAGGCTGCGCCGGGGCCCCGGGGAACTGGAGAAAGGCAGTTCTTGGACACGGTGTGGAAAGACACGGGTTGCATGTGGGGACCAGCTGGCGTGACTGACAGCTCTGAGCTGTGGAGGAAACACTACCCCCCAGGTGGAATCTGAGGTTGTCAGGGGACGGCGGGAGTTGAGTCTGTCACATGGACATTGAGCCAGATTCGCCGTCTGGGTGGTCACGTCGCAGTTTCTGGCAGGAATGCTGCCCCTGGAGCATGAGTCTCAGATCCGCTTCCCTGAAGATGGGGACTCAGGGATGTTTGTGGGGTGGGGGCAGGGGGGTCTGCAGTGTGGAGGTGGGTGATGGGAGGTGAGGGGAGCGGAGGGAGTTGATGATCTGTGCCAGTGTAGCGGACTCCAGGCCTCTTCACGGGACCCGTGTTCACAAAATGGTGGCATCAGCACCATCTGAGGGTGGAATTTTTAGCTTCTTGATGTCAAAATGTCGCTTATCTGCACTGCGCCGGCCCAGTTGATGAGTTGGTGGTCTCAATTGGCCTGGAGTGGACAAAGGGGTTCTAATTCCTGAAGAGCGGCTCCGACGCCCATTGCCGTGGTGACCAGGCTGCAGGGAGGTGTTCTCTGCAGGAGACTGGCACTAGTCGGACAGCACATCACCTGCACAGCACGTTAACAATGCGCGGGTTAAACAACCGAAAGCTATAATCAGTAATTGAGAAAGGAACAAACTTTAGTTCCCAGCTACCCAATCGTCAATGGCTAACTGTATGCCAGTTTCGGGAGCTGCGTCTTAGAAAGGCTCCCTGACTTGCCATAATTTCACCAGGAGGAAGGGGTTGGCAGGGACCCATATGGATGGAAATCTGTCTAAGGCCTCACTGAGACCCCCATTCCCTCGCTGGGCAGGAAGACACCCCACTTTGCCTGGAGACATCACCGAAGGCGCAAGAGGGGACTTTGGCCCAAGTCCATCTGGGGCCGGGAGCACTAGCCTAAGAGCCTACCCAGTGCGGGTGGCTGACCTGGGACACACACGTTCCCCCGCCATCCGTCCCTCCAGCGCTCACCTCGTGGGTGTCGGCGGGAACAAGCTGGGGCGCCTGGGCTCGCAGCACAGACAGCAGGCTCAGCCCCGCGGTCAGGAGGGGCAGCTGCATGGTGGGTGGGGCCTCACTGCTGCTCCCTCCTTGCCCTGCTGTCCTTTTAGACCCCCGGGGCTCAACTGGAGACAGGATCCCGCCCCTCCCTCACCTTCACAAAGGCCCCTCAATTTTGCAGTGTAGGTAGTGATGCAATCGTTTTGTTTGGATCCAGTGAACGGACGTTCTGAACTTTGTGTAATTAGCCATCATTACTCTGAGGTTTGATTTCTTCTGAGAAAGCTTTTCTGGAAGGGAGAATGTTAACAGAATGGGAAGTAGAGCACGCCTGCATTCAGAGCTAGCAAGATGACACGACAGCTTCCTCGTACCTGCCCCCGGCCTTTCCCGCTCCAGCCCCGGGGAACCTGCACCTCCCCTTTCCTCCCAGACCTCCTGAACTCCAAGCAGAGCGTCCAGCCTGCTCTGAGCAGCCCCGCCAGGACACCCACCGTCTCCCCTGCAGACCCCTCGCCCCTTTCAGGCTGAGCTGATCTTCTCCGCGAACGTGTTCCCGTCGGTGCCCCCACTGAGACCCTGGAGACCTCGTTGACCCTCTGTACCCTTCACGTCTGCTCCCCTCACACCCTGGGCCTCTTGCCCCAATGCATGTCGTCATCCACCTCCTCCCTTGAGTACTGCTGCCCCTTCCTTCACTCCAGGCTCATGAGAGCCGGGGGGACTCCCCTGACTGACAGACCCTCCAGGGCTTCTGCTTTCCTGCCCCCTCTTCCTCCCACGTTCTGCTTCCAGAACTTTCCACCAAGTGCAACGGCATGGTCTTGCTCCTGTGCATGTGTGTGTGCATGTGTGTGCATGTGCTCATATGTATATCTGTCTTGTATGCACATGTGTGTCTTATATGTGTGCATATGTGAGCGTGTGCACGTGTGTGTATGTCTCTGTGTGTGCATATGGTGGTGTCCATGTGTCTGACATGAGTGTCTGTGTGTGAGTGTGTGCGTGTGTGTACCTGTACATGTTCGAGGGGGGCTCCAGAATGTTCCCACCACTATGCAATTCTGGCTCCAAAGGGTGGGTTACTCCACGTCCACCAGCCCCAGAACCTTCTATGAACCCTGGAGCCCCAGCCGTGTTGCCCCTCTGCTGGGGGGTGTCGCCTGTGTGGTCACCACAAAGCTCAGGGCGCCCTTCCTGGGAGGTCTTCCCGCTGCTCCTGAGGAGGGTCGCTCATGCTGTTGTGCCCCTTTTGAGGCTCCTCACACCAGTGGCCCCGTCCGTCCTGTCGTGCAGCAGGAAGAAACATGTGCCTCAGTGTGCACAGCCCGGCCAGACGCCCTCAGAAGCGTTGTCTCAGAGATCAGACCCTCACTGCTTCTCTGGCAACACTGTGGGCACCGTCCTCCTGTCCAGTTGAGGCTGGAGCAGAGCGGAGGACGGAAGCATCTAGAAGTCTTGCAGCAATGTGGCAGAGTGCCGCATGCCCCCAGGTCTCAAAACAGAAGAGAAGTGGGCCTACACTGAGCAGACTTTTTCCATTTCAGCTTTCTAAAAATTCATTTTATTGCAAGGGGGAGGCAGACGAACGGTCCCCCCAGAGACATCCATGTCCTCATCCCCAGAACCTGGGAACAGGTTATGTTTCGTGGCAGAGAGACCTGATGTGCAGGTGGGTTACGCCGGCCAGTCTGCTCCCCTCGGGGTGGGAGCCGGTCCTGGATTGCCCGCCTGGGCCCAGGGGATCAAACTTCTACACGTGAAGAGGGCGGGGGAGGGTTGGAGCAGAGAGCACATGAGGACGGGGTCAGGGACAGAGTGACGAGACATGAGGAGGACCCCACCGGACACTGCTGGCCTCGAAGATGGACGAAGGGGCCGTGAGTCAAGGGACACCATGGCCTCTTGGCCCTGGAAAAGGTAAGAAAAGGGCCCCTGCCAAGCCCCCTGAGGGAGCCCGCATGAGTCAGAGAACGACACGGGTCTGTTGACAGGGAAGGTCCGAGCGGCCCCACTCCAGCTCATTTGAGAAGGCCTCCACTGTCTCCCAGATGAGGAGGCAGGGCCCATTGTACAGAAAAGGCACAGGAGGCGGGCCTGGGGGAAGGGGTCTGGCCCAGTCCTCCCAGGCCCACAGCGGGAGCAGTTCAATTCTTCCGGGGTTCAAAGAGTTACGAGTCAACCTGAGAGGAAGACATCTGCCCCTGGGCCTGGGAGGGGCCTGCATGTGCGTGTCTAGGGGTGTGTGTGTGTGTGTGTGTGTGTGTGTGAGAGAGAGACAGCGTGCGTATGCGTGTGCGTGTGTCTGCAAGGAGCGAAACAGCGCACACCCCACGTCAGGGACGCCCGTGGCCACGGTCCAGGATCCGGCGGCCCAGGACAGCCTGCTGCCCAGGCTCTTCCAGGGTGGGGCTGGGGCTGGCCCTGCCAGACCACTGCCCGCTGGTGCCTGCACACTCTCCAGCCTGATTGTGCAGGTTCCTGCGAGTTCTGTGAGCTACGGGATCATCTCACTGAGATTTATTTCCGCTTAACTTAGCTGGAGTGAATTTCTGGTTTTTGTAGTCAATAATCCTGATTGGTCCAGACGCTTAGAAAGAAAAAATGACCTCCGACGGCTCCTGCACCCAGAAGGCCGGAAGAACGAGCTTCCCAGTGCCCTTGGACTATGTCTGTCAGATAGAAGGACGTAGAGCTTGTGAAGGGGGTAGAGACCCCGTGGAAGGTATGTTGAGAGCCTGCAAACTAATCTGACCCAAAACACTTGCAGACAGGGCCTCGAACAAGTCCGCACACAGCGTGTTCACAGCAGCACCGACACAACGGCCAAGAGGTGGGAACAGCCCCAACATCCGTCAGCGAATTGTTCACTTTAAAACGACTGAATTTGGTGTTCTATGATCATTTCATCTCAGTAAAAGATTAAGAAAAACTTCGTCCGGTGGAGATGGAACAGCAAACGTGCTCCTCACCAGGGGAGTGACGGAGAATTTTGCAGAATGGAGCACGGACATCAGTGCTCAGGTTGAGCGTAAGTGCAGATTCCACCTCTGATACTTGACTGATCTGCCCACTGAGGACAGTTAGAAGCAGCCGACAAACCTGGGACCTGGGTATGTATGCTGACCCTGTCTGGAGGGAGGTCCCCACGTCCCCATCTCCAGGGAGGCTGGACTGGGTTCACCTCTCCCACCAAGAGCTAGGAGACCCTGATCCCAGTTGGCTGGCTGTCAGGCCACTCACTGGAAAGCCCCATAGTAATTTGGGAAAGTGTAGTGATGACATCAGAATTGCAAGCAAGGTCCCTCCTGAAGCGGCTCCCTCCCCAGGGGCAGCGCCACCTGTTTCCAGCCAGGCCTGGGAGATGGGGCAGGAGCAGAGTCCCATGCCAGCTAGGATCCCAGGGTCATGCTGTCCTCGTCCTGGTGGCCCGGGGAAGCCTGGCCTCCTGCCTGACCTCCCCCTCACTCCTGCCACCACCTCCAGCCAGTCGGGGGCCGGGGGCCAGGTGATCCCACCGCACACATGTTCCCGCCTCGAGGCTGGAGCCAACCCTGTCACCCTCACGCCCCCTCTCCCCAAACAGACCACCACCAGAACCTGGATTGGTGGGCACCAGACCTGCAGAAAGCCCCCAGAGGACCCTCGGGCAGAGTGGCAGCACCTACCCCCTCCGCCTGGACCCTCATGCCCATTGGACTGCACCATCCACCAGAGGGAACCAGGACGCTGCTGGGTCCTCCTGCTGTGCCCGCCCCAGCTTGCCTACATCCTCCCCATTCCCGGTCCACCCGATGGACCCACAGACAGGCAGAGGCACCAGGAACTGCTGAAGCTCTTTATGCGGAACCAGGAGGGGGATGCAGGGCGGGGGAGGAGGGGGTGGAGGTGCAGGAAGGGTGGCAGGAGGTGACCCAGGCTCCTGGTCAGGGACTCTGTCTGTGTCCTTCAGGATGGAGGGTCCTGGTGCTGCCGCCTCAGGGCTGCTGTGGAGCCCCGGTGCCCCCTCGTCCTGGAGAGGAGGGGGAGGGTCACTGAGACCAGGACGGGGGAGGCCGGGAGGGACTGCCTTGTGGGAGCAGGTGCCGAGGTCTGGGGGTGCTGTGTGGGGGCAGGTGCTGGGTTCTGGGGCTGCCGTGTGTGGGCAGGTGCCGAGGTTTCGGGGTGCCATGTGTGGGCAGGTGCTGAGTTCTGGGGCCACCATGTCGGGGGAGGTGCTGGGTTCTGGGGCTGCCGTGGGGGCAGGCGCCGGGTTCTGGGGGCTGCAGTGTGGGGGTGGGTGCTGAGTTCTGGGGCCACCATGTCGGGGGAGGTGCTGGGTTCTGGGGCTGCCGTGGGGGCAGGCGCCGGGTTCTGGGGGCTGCAGTGTGGGGGTAGGTGCTGTGTCCTCAGGCTCTGGCCGCTGGATCTGAGGACCTGGAGGAGACCTTCCTGTAGGCTGCCCACAGCATCCACGCTCTCGTGTGAAAGTGTGTCGGGGCCACTTCCGGCCAACGGGAGGGCAAAGAGGGAACGGGGTTGCTCTCTGGGCTCTGGCTCTGCCCACCCCTGGGCAGTGAACTTGGGTAAGTCACTGAAACTCCAGTTTCCAAAAGGACATGCAGTTGGTAAGGACCCCAGGAGGTCTGAAGTACCCCGCTCATGGGTGCCGTATTTCTGAATCTTTTAAGCAACTCATTGGGTAAACAAAGTCACGATGACTACTCAGGGGTGAGGAGGGATGTCACCCCTGCTGGCAGGCACACCGCAGTGTCAGGAGCTAGACAGTCTCCCCCAGCACCCCAGCCCCTGGAGCGCTCACTCCAGAGGGATTTCCTCACTGCCGGGCACTGCTCTGCGAGACCGAATCTGCAGGCGAGGCTCAGGGGTCCGGGCGACTCCAGGAGCAGGCTCTCCACCTGCCTGGCCGAGAGGGTCTCCTGTCCCGGTGGGAGCAGGGGTGGGAGATAGACCACACGTCCCTAATCGCTTACCCTAATCGCTTCCTGGAGAGCAGGTTTCTGCAGAAAAAAGGAGACACACACGGCTCAGGAGACCCCAGAGAATCAGTCGGGGCCGACACTTCACGTGACCCCAGGAAGGACATTTAGCGTTCTCTAAATTGGCTCTGCTGCCCGTCCCAGCGCGGGGCCCGGGCAGGATCAGGCGAGGGTGTACTCCCTACCATGGGGCGTGAGCGTGAAGATCTTCTCCGGGTCGAACCCTTTGTCTCTCGCGAACGTCTTAAAATCCTCCAGGGCCCCCTGGTTGTTCTCCGCGTCTCTTCCTGTCAGTGAAATCAGGAGATGCGAGGGTGAGGGGCAGAACGGGAGCAGGCTGGCATCTCCAGCCCAGCCTGGGGCAGAGATGGATGGGCCGCCGCAGAGCTGGGGCAGGAGACCATGCGCCCACGTCGGGGCTGGACCCCGAGGTCCCTCCGGCCGGGAGGAGGGCTCGGCTGGAAAGAGAGGACTGGGAGCTGTGAGTGCCCAGTGGGCGCCGTGCGGCAGGCCTGGGAGGAACGGGGTGCTCTTCATGAGCACACCTGGGGGTCTCCTGGAGTGAGGACGACCGGCAGGACCTGCCCAGCCACAGAGGAGAGTACTTCCCCTCGGGGCCCCCGGACCCCGTGCTGTCCCCTCTGGACTGACTTCCGCTGCGCTCCTGGCTGTGGGGAGCATGCAGGAGAGCACCTGGGGGCCCCTTGTCTTCAGGCCGAGACAGTCCTGATGCCCCAATGCCTCCTTGAGCTCCCCCCATCCCGGAATTAAGCCCCAGGATCTGGAATTTCCTTCCCTTGCAGCTCCATGCACACACTGCTCTTCTCCCCCGTGGGAGACCCCAAAGGAACGGTGCTGAGGTGGACACTGCAAGGGGTGGTCCCTGTGAACGAGTGGCCCACCCAGTGACATCTGTGACATTTGGATCCCTGTCCCCACAGTGGTCCTCTGCCCTCCTGTGTTCCCACTGCAGACACCGAGACTGGGAAACCCGGATCCTGAGCTCCAGGGATGGGAATGAGTGCTCCCTTCAGGAAAAGCAGTTGGAAGGAGCCGCCGGTGGCTTCTCCTAAGAGGAGGAGGCACGGGGAGGAGGGGGAGGGAGGAGGGTTTGCAGGCACTGGGATGCGGGACCCTCACCCACGAGCTTCGCCATCCGGATCTGCTTCCCCCGGAGCTCGCCTTCACAGTAAAGAACGTAGTGGTCCATCACGTTCGACGGCGAGATGTGCACCACGCGCCTGCCCTCGTCTGCGGAAGGACGGTGGCACGAGCTGAATAAGCCATGTGACCCTCCAGGAAGACCTGGAGCTCGCCCAGCGCCCAGCCTGGTGGACCCTCCAGTTTCCACATGCTCCCAGCTGCTCAGGCCGTGAGGTCTCCACCTCTTGAGGACCCAACACACCGGGAGAGCCCCATACCAGAAAGAGGGTCACATCCCCAACCAACGGACCACAGAGAGGTTTCGGGGCATGGAGTTGGAGCAGGTCGGAGTGTGGGGTGCTCAGTCCCCAACAACCAGATACGACTCTGCTCCTCGCCCCTGACGTGGGCACAGCCATAACCCAGCGGGGCCCCTGGGCGGTCCAGTCCCTCCTGGGACAATGTGTCCCTCCTGGCTCTTAGTGTCAAGTGATCATATCTTCAGGGCAAACTGACCAGAGGGAGGAGAGGGTGTACATTTAATGGGGTCAGAAAGGAGCGGGGCTTCTCAGGCTAAAATGCCTCCCCAGAAATGCGCAGGCTGCCCCCGGCTCCCCCAGTGTGTGGGGCACCACCCGGCTGGGGCTCCAAGACTCACCGGCCGTGTATTTGCCGGGCTCATTGGTTTTCTCCAGCACCAGTTTCGTCTCCTGGCACTGACCCCTCACCCTGGAACACAGAAGCCATGTGGTGATGCTGCCGTGGGTGTACCCACTTTGGAAACACAGCCAGCCCCGGTAGGGCCCCCGCCTTGGAGCAGCCGCAGGGCAAAGCCCGTAACGGTGGCCTGGGATCCAAAGTGGGCCTGGCGGGGGAGCACGTTTCTCCCACCTCAAGTCCAGGCACTGACTGGGCCTTCAGTCATGCGTGACAGCTCCCTGGGGCTCCCTCCAGGTGGGGGGTGGGGTGCAGCCCCCTCAATCAGCCAGCACTGCCCCTCACGGCCCACGAGGCCCATCCGCGGCCCCTCCCCTCCTCAGTGCCCTAAGTCTGGGGATCTCTCCCCTGCACGGTGCCCCTGCATGAGGCACCCTCCATGGCGGTGCCCCCTCAAAGCTGCCAGGGCTGAGTGCTGTAGGAGGGCCTGAGAAGGACACCGGCGTGGTCTGCCTGCCCCACAGATGCTGGCTCTCCTGGTGTGGGGAGGGAAGGCCGAGGGTCGTTGCCAGCTACCCAGCCGGCTGACACTCACTTCACGGTCGCTTTGGCCTCCAGGTTGCCCCCCTCCAGGACCGTGAGGATCATGGGAGTCACCAACTCAGGCTTCTCCCCGGGAATCTCCTGGTCAGCGGTCACGGCCTTCAGATACCATTTCCCTGAGACCTGGGGATGTTCCCCCCATCAGGGCTCCGGCCGACCCCACGGCCTCCCCCTCCCGCTCTGCAGCCCCAGACTCTACCCCACCCCCAGGGCTGGGGGCTTGGAGCGCTTCCCAGCCCACCCCCCCCCACCCCCCCCAGCTTATGCCCAGCACCCTCGCCAGACCCACCCAGATGCCGGCTCCGGGCCCCTGCAGGTCAGCGAGACCACCGGTGCCCTTGCTCCCAGGGGCCCTCTGCATCCTGGGACCATCGGGCACAGACTCCTCTGTCTGACCATTCCCTCAGGGCCAGGGGTTAATGCCTGATCCTAAAATGAGTGTCTCTGCCCCTCCCCACGCCGCCTCCAGCCAGCCTGCCCCATCTGAGCCTCACGTCCGGAGTCTCCTCGCCCAAGGCCAGGGGGTCCTTGGCCTGCAGGGCAGCAATGAGGCTGAGGCCGATGGTCAGGAGCAGGGTCTTCATCTCCAGGGGTCTGTGCTCACGGCCACCTGACAGGTCACTTGCTGGGGTCGGAGAGGCTGTGCCGGCCTCTCACACAGCCACCCTTTATACCCGCTGGCCCAGGGTCCCACGGGAACTTGGCACAGACAATTGACAATCCCTTCCTGGCCATAAACCGTGGCCAGTTCCGCAGTGGAGCAGATGAAATGTCAGTATTGTTGGACGTTGCTGAACGGCTCTGGTTAACCACGAAGGGTCATCGAGGCAGCGCCACCATCTAGAGGGACGGATCTGCAGGCAGCATCGAGGAGGGGCAGTCGGAGTGCAGGAGTGGAGGCTTCCGTGAGCAGAGGCACCGAGGGACGTGAGCGGTGCCAGCGGCCCCCCTCCCGCCCGTCACCGCAGGCTGGGCTGACCAGCTCGCTGCCAGAGAGGATGTGGGCTGGACCTTAGAGCCACGGGCTTGGTTACAGCTGGCCCTCCTGGGTTAGGCTACTTAACTTCAGATTCAGCATCAAGAAAGAGGGACCTACTATGTGAGCGTGACGACGGGTGTGTTTAAAGAGCATGTCTACACTCCTGACAAGATGTGCAATAAGTAGTCACTTTGACACACCCTCTCTGCTCCATGTACAGAGGAGCAGCAGATGAGAGATAAAGAATGCAAACCAGGACACGTAGATGGAAATGTGAACATATGTATACACACACACATTCACACACACGTGCACACACACATGCATACATAGGCACACATGCATACACATGTGCATACACACGGACACACGCGTGCACACATACGTATACACAGACACACATTCACACATGCGTGCATACACACAGAGATACGCATACACAGAGACACGCATTCACACACACATACACGTTTACACATATGCATACACATTCACACACAGACACATATGCATACACATAAGCACATATGCATGCACACAGATACACACATGCATACACACTCACACTCATTCACTCAGACATGCACATACATACATGCTCACACACACACATCAAATCAGGACGCAGGAGCAGCACAGCCTGGTGAGTGGGGCTGCAGCCCTGGCCCGGCAGGTGAGAGGACGTGATGTCACCTCCAAAGCAGACGGGAGACGAGCCGTCCTCCGAGCAGTGACTTTCTCTGTGAGTCCCCACACCCCCCTGTCGGGCAGCAGAACAGACGCCTGGGCCGGGAGTGGGAGGCAGAGGCTACGACAAAACTGGCAGACGGAGCACGATGACAACAAGGTGACAGAGGGGCAAGCCTGCGTGGGTTCTGCATCCCGCCCGAAAGGGAGCTGGTGCCCCACGCTCCAAATCACCCACAGCAAGACCAGGTGAAGAGAGACAGGCTCAAGGTGAGCGGTCTGGACCGGAACTCACTCCGGGGAGCAGGACGAGTGAAGACGCTTTAGAAGAGGAGCGTGATGAGGACGCCTGGAGACGAGACAGGACGAGAAACCGTGAAATGAGAGCGGCCAGAGCGTGGACAACGAGGAGACAGGAAATAGGAACAATGATAAACATCGAAGGTGGACACTGTAGTAAATAGAAAACTCAAAAGCCAGTGAAAGTAAGCTACACACATGAAATTGGCTCTTTGGGGAAAACACATTAACTAGATCGACTTCTAGGGAGACTGCTGGAAACATTGGGAAAGAACAACTGAATGGCATCGGGAGTGACGCGGGACGTGAGCTGAGGCAGACGAGAGCGGCTGAGCGGCTGTGCAGGTGTGCGGATGGCAGGCAGGCCGCAGGGGTCAGCCTCAGAGACCGGGGGAGGGGGGAGAGGTGCGGTCACAGGGCGACACCGACGGCTCAGAGGGTGGAAGAGACGCCCAGGAACAGCCCTGGGCGGAGCCGGGAAAGCAGGCGCACAGCACAGCGGGCAAGAGCACTTGTGGGGAAAACACTACAGGAGTGGAACTGGGTGTCCACGTGGGAAAGACACACAAGCTCACCTCCCCACCTCACATCGCTCACAATTATTCCAGCCAGATTTAAAGGCTTACGTACGAAAAGCAAACCTTTCAAACCCTGTAAAGGAAACAAGGGCTGACACCTTTGCAGCCCAGAGACAGACCCCCCCGAGCTGTGAGGGAAGCGCTGAAGGGACCACAAAGGTCAAAGGTCAGCCTGGAGGGAATGTCTGCAATGGGCGCGACTGCTGTGGGGCTTCGAGATGGAGAGCACACGGACGGACAGACGGACCAAAGAGTTAGGAAACGACAACCGGGGGAGAGCAAACGGGACAGGCAATCACAAGGAGGGGCCGGGGCCGCCGGGCTCCTGAGGGTGCTCAGCGTCACTGCCGACTGGAACCAAGTGGAGACGCCGTCTCGGAGCCCCTCTGACAACAGGCGTCGCTGGGATGTGGCTCTCGGCAGCTCTCACCGTCTGCGTCTGGGCGTGAACTGTGCCCCACGTGAGAGCAATGGCAACCACCAGCAACATTGCAGGCTCGCATGCCTGGGGTCCCGCAGTTCTGCGGCCTCACACAGACACTAGACGTCCCCCTTGGGCCTCCTCCACGCTGCAGCCAGGTGCTCCCGTGATCACGAGATTCTGTCAATTTGTGGAGCCATCTCTCTCCTCGTGTTCAGGGGCCGAGGGCAGTTTTGGGTTCAGTGGGACGTGTTGAAGGTAACGGTCACTTTAGTGCCGAGCTGGCTTCCCGGGTCGTCTTGGTTTTCGGGAATATTCCTGCCGCTGCTCTGGACTGACGCACATGGCGTCCTGACCCACCTGTGTCAGCTACGGGTCACAACACAGAAGGCACATGAGCGGTGGGGGGAGACGCCAGCTTCATTCTGCGTGAAGCCCGAGGCGAGTGTGCGGTCAGTTCCCTCACGCCCCCGGGGTGGACGCCTGTGAGCCGGGTTCAGTTCTCAGTGAAGTCTGGTCAAACGCGAGCCCGCTCTGTCCCAACTGCTTGACGGTGCAACGTGTGTCAACGCACCACACGCTTTTATGCTGTTTAGATGGAAACCACACAAAACAGAACTGATCAGAATTCTATTTATGGACCAAAGACCCACAGCAGAACCACAGTGAGCACATACATCCGTGTCGGAAGTTACGTGTCTTCTGCATCCCAACATCAGTGATAAAAAAGGAATTTCGATCTCCCGTGCGGGGCAGAGTGTGAGTTATCTTTACGGGAATAGTGGAACAGTAGTTTCAGAGGAATCAGGAGCAGCGGCTGAAAGACCAGGAAAAGGAGGTTTCTAGAGGTGGGCCGGGCGGCAGGGAGTCGGAGTGGGTGGTGGTTCCTGGATTTGGTGATGTTCATGGTACTTATCAGCTTTGTGTGTGTGTGTGTGTGTGTGTGTGTGTGTGTGTGTGTGTGTGCTCTGAGCTAACACGTGTGCCCATCTTCCTCCGTTTTGTATGTGGGACGCCGCCACAGCGTGGGTTGATAGGCAGTGCTGGGTCTGCATTCGGGATCCGGAACCTGCAAACCCCAGACCGCCGAAGCAGAGCACGTGAACTTAGCCACTCTGCCACCGGACCAGCCCCCTTATCAGCTTTTTAAATATGTGAGTTTTCTGAGTCTTTTTCTCACTCCAAATAAATATTTCTCATATCTAATTTGGATTCATAATTTTTATTCTTTTTGCTCTAAACCAGTCTGTGCCAGTTTGTCCATGTGGAGCCTCCTTGTCTCCTGACTGGCCCCCAGAGGCTCCACGAGTTGACCCCATGACCCCCGCCTGCCTGAGTTGGGGCGTGTTCGTCCACCTCCCTGTCCTGCGTCCGTCCAGCCTCTGCTGTCGTCCTGCCAAGCCCAGAACAGCCGCCACCTCCTGGGAAGAAGGGCCTGACCGCCCGGCCTACAGCTGCACCGCCCTGCGTGTCCCGTGTCACAGTGGATGGTGCGTGTCGTGAAGGACCCTTGTCACTCGACGGTTCAGATCCTGGCCTCTCCCCACCTCCTGGGCTCACTCGCTCCCTCAGGGCTGGGCTCCCAATGGCCTTGAACTTAACCCAGCCGAGCCGAATCGACTTAGCGTGAGCTGATCTGCACTTGACCGCAGAGCCCAGGGTGCGGCCGGGAAGCCGAGGGCCCCGTGTTTGCCCAGGGGTCTGCTTTCAGGAGAGGTTGTGCTTGTTTGCGTTCCGGCTCTTTCTTCTCCTTGAGCTCCTGCAAGGCCCTTGGCTTATCAGAACACAGGAGCCCTTTGTACCGCCAGTTTGTTCCGTGTCACGGTGAATGTCACACAAACAGGAACGTGCCTGGAGGCCACCTACACCCGTGTCCTCCCGCCTCGGCTGCCAGGTTGATGGCAGTAGACGTGGCCTCCTGCAGAGGCTTTGCCAGCCTTCCGCTCCTGCTCCGCCAGCACAGAGCTCCTCGCAGCCTCGTCGCAGAAGGCGGATCCCAGGGAACAGGGATTCTGAAGGCAGCCCTCGCCCAGGGTTGGCGTCTGGGAGCCACGTCGGGGGTCCTGGTGCGGTCAACACAAGGTCCTGGCAGGACGGCCTTGGCCAGCCTGGGCGCCTTCAGCCCACAGGGGTGGAGGGGCCTCACCGTGAACATGCTAGGCTGGTAGCCAGGCTTTTTCCTGGGGGACTGGACCCCTTGCTCTGCAGCTGGGAGCTTGAGGGTCAGCCCGGGAACCACCCCTGGACTATACTGCAGGGTGACAGCCTGTGCGCTTTCCCTGACGACCCTGGGAGTCAGGACACAGAGCAGCAGCGGAGAGGGAGGAGTCATATCAGGGGTCTGAAGGGCGCAGCCTGAAACTGCCCCGCTCGCCTCCTGGACGCTCGGCCCAGCCGGCCTCCCAGGCCTCGGGGCCCCGCCCCTGGAGCAGCCCCCCACCCCCCACACAGCTGCTGGCGGGAGGCTGAGGTGTGCAGGTGGGGCCCTGAGACCGGCCTGAGAGGAGGCCCCACCCTCCGCCTGTCTACATGAGCGCCGGCCCTCTCCTAGGTGAGCGCCAGGAAGCCCCTCCCCGGGCTGGCACTGCACAAACGTCCTGTGGTTGGAAAGTGCTTTCTGGGGAAAGGCTCGGAGACGCAGACAAAGATTTATGGATAAAACCACTTATGCCAGTCTCGTAATCGTG